GGGCAGACCCAGGCCACCGGGGACACCCGCGCTCGACCCACCCCCTCCCCGGGCACCTATGAACGACTTTGCGAGCGGACCCCGTTAACGTGAGCTTAATGCCAGGGAGGCAAAGCTTCGCCGGTGCTATAGCGTGCTTGCTTGGAGACAGCACCCGACTTTCCAGAAGCTGAGTTCCAGACTTGAGCAGACCCAGGAGCCACCGAGAGGTGAGCACCCAGCAGGGTGGGCGGAGGCAATTTCCACACCACCGCTTGACACCCCCACCCCCTTGCCACCCAGCTGTAGGGTCTGACAGTTGGGAGGACTCTTGTGGCGGTGCCACCCTGGTCGGCCTCTCCTCAGCCTCTCCACTCCGTCCTGCTGACTTTCCATATTTGGCTATTTCAGATTTACTTTCGTGAGAACTTGCTATCTCGCCGCCACAGGCACAGGGCTGGTTGGAGTTCAGTTGTGGGCTAAGGTTGGTGAGATGAGGAGAGGCTCCTTTCTCCCCAACCCTCCCACAGCCTGTGAGAAAAGCAACCAGGCACCAGCTTATTGCAGTAAATATTGGGCATAGGTGCGGTGTGAAAACTGGATTAGGGCCAAAGAGGACGGTTCCTTTTTCCAGGAATGTGTGCATTTTGAAGTGTGTGGGAAGGCTTACAATGCAAAGAAATTGGTTAAAGCATTTCTGAGAATAGAACTTTCTGGGTGTGTGCGAGATGATTTTAGACAACAAAAGTCCGGTTTTTAAGACCCCTCCAATCCGGTTGCCACTGTCTGACTTGCATCACACAGCCCAAAGCCAGGAGGAGTGTTAACACAACTGAGGGTTTGAGTGCAAACCTGCCACCTTGGGAACAACCAATGTGAACAAAAAAGGCAAAAATGACAGCAGGAAAGATGAATGGAAGATAAAGGTCGGAAATGCCTAGGTTTTGTTCATGTGGTGAGTTCAGGAGACAGGTCTGTCAGCCCCAGGTCCTGCGCTGCTGTAGTCTCCCTGGGTCTCTTGTAGGACTAGCTTGTGGAAAGGGGCTGTGATTGAGAGGAGTGACTTTCTCAGGGTCCCAGGCTGAGGCCTAAGGTGTGGAGCATGGCTAACGTCATCGGAGAACCCACTGGATGTGGGTGGATGACATAGGCGCCCAGCCACTGGGAGTAGGAGCCTTGGTGTCTGTGGTGTCTCAGGGGTGATTTGCAAGGTGGGGGAAGGCAAGGCCTCTGAGTCAGTCCTGTTAGATTAATGGGAGAAACAATCCTTATGTAGTTATAATCTCTGCTTTACTGAGGGGGGACCTTGAAGAACAAAGAAAGAAAGAAAGAAAGAAAGAAAGAAAGAAAGAAAGAAAGATGAGTGAAGCTGTCCTTTCAACCCATTTGCTCATCACTCATGTCACTTGTCCTCATTTTGTTCCCCATGACACCCTGTGAGTCAGGGCAGCTCCCACCCCCCAGATGGTGAGGGGAAACATCCTTGTCAACAACCCCTAAGCTTCGCTGCTGGGCCAAGCGTGGGACTCTGAGGTTTCTGCTTCAGGACTGTCACCTTGGTTTCTCAGAGAGTCACATCTGCCTACCTCCTCTTTAGTCTGAGCGTCAGGAAGAGGACCCAAATTCCCATAAGTACCTGGAGCCTCTGTTCCCAGCAATATGGGCACCCATTCTTCTGGAGACTTCTCCTGCTGTGTGAACAAACTTACTCTATCCCCTCAGCCAGCCAAGTGCCTGGGGCAGGACCTGCGTCTGATTTTTGTCTAGCCTGGAATCTGGCAAGGGTTAGCCTAAAAAGACCTTGGCTGAGTTGCACTCAGTTTATTTGGGGTGTGTCTCCCAGCTACTGAGGACAGGTGTTGGTGAGACTTGATTATATTCCAGGAATCAGACTAACGATGCAGGTTATTAATAACCTGTCACATCAGCCTAGCTTGTCTGCCCCAGAGAGAAGGGAGAGAGAGGCAGGCGCTTTTCGTCCCACTCTACCTGATGGCAAGCTGGGACTCAGAAGTGATGAGAAAATCTCCCGGCAAGTAGGAACGGGCAGGAGCCAAGCCATTGTCTTCTGACTCAACTCCTATGCTCTTGCCATTATATGTTGACTAGAAGAAGCCAAGACTCATTGGACGGGGATGGGAGAACCAGCCAGACATTGGCCCCAAACTGCAGTTTAAAGATTGAACAGACGAGATGGATATGGTCTCTAAGTGATACCTCAGGTCTGGTTGTAACTTTTCCCAGGTACTCCAGACAGAAGGTGGCCCTGCAGGGCTGTGGTCAGGGTGGAAGGGGAGGCAGTGGATTGTCTACAGCATGGCAGGGGCAAGAAGAGGTGAACCCTTCTATGGGACAGAAAATGAATCCCAAGGGTGGGGCTCCTATCACCTCCACTGCCACTACCAGGACTGAGCCAGCATTTCTGTGTTTCTTTGCTAAGAAAACAGTGCTTGAGGAATTCTATGCATGGACTCTGTCAGGCCCTGTCTTATGAGGAAGCAGAAGGGCAGACCTCGAAATAAAAGTGAAAACAGTCCCTGGTCCCAACAGAAACTCTAGTCCCCAGCATGTTTTGCATGTTAGCATCTGCGGGCAGCTGGCCTCGATGTTCTAGCAAAGGCAGTGTGCACCTGCACCACTGTGCCCCGTGCAGCTCACTCAGAAGTGCTGCTAGGCTGCTGCTCTGCATCCGTGGCAGCCCAGAGGGCACCTTCATATCAGCAGCCCCCTCGCTGATTCAGAACACCTCTGGAATCTCCCCACAGCCTTTGCACGCCTCAAGACCAAGCTGCATTCCTCCCATCCCAGCCAGAAAACTCCACCTCCATGAAGAACCAACTGTCTGTCTTCTTCCTGAAGCAGGCAGGCTCCCTCTACAGCTCCCTCCACTCCTCCCCTGCTCCTTGACCTCAGCCATCTACACTCTGCTGTTAACCTGAAGGCTCCATGTTTCCCGGAGTTTCTCTCCTCTGGGTTCACTGGAAGCCTAAGGAAAGAGATGTCTGCACTTTTGGCTTCAGTCTCTCTGGGCTCCCTGCACCTGCTGTGCTGCTGGTCAGAGGCCTTGTGAAGGCTCCTGAGGTCTAATAATCCTCTGTCGCCGTCTGCAGGCGCCTTGCAGCTGTCTGTCAGCCTGTCCATCGACCATGTCCTTGGAGCCGGCTGTGTCCCCACTGGGATTCCTTAATTTGGCCTTACTCCTCCGCCTGCCTTGTAGGTGCCCATGTGGTTAAGTCTGGAGATCCGTTTTCTGTCCCAACTCTTCTCGGTGTTGTTCTTTGTCTTAAGCCTCCACGCTTAAGAAAGACACTTGATTTCTGTAGTGTTACTCAGCTTGATTCAGTGTGGTGCTTCAAGGGCTCCCTCGGCATGATTCTCAAGCTACTTGTTCGTCCAGTTCAAGGCCTACTTCTGTCTCCCTGTTCTAGTTGGCTCCCTGACTGGGCTCAGAACCTCTTTCCTGGATGGCCTGAAATAGCCATTTACTCTCTTCAGGCCCCAGGTTTGTTTCTTTCCACAGTGCTGCAGAGGGTCTCTATAAGCCTTAGCCTGGTTGGCACACATTGCTTTTGCTGTTGTAGAGTGGAAGACTGTGGGTTGCATGATCTGGTAGGCTGGGATTCAAATATGTATCGATTTCTTTTATTTTTGAGATTAAAATGCCACTACATAGCCCTGGTTTCCCTTGAACACACTATGTAGCCCAGACTGGTCTGGAACTTGGCAGCAGTTTTCCTGCCTCGGCCTCCCAAATGCTGGGACTGTGGGTATTTGGTACCTCGGCACAAGAGGCAGTCAGATCTGGGGTTTTGACTTTCTGGGTGTGGTCATGTGATCAAGGTAAGTTGCCCAGTCTCATAAGCACCTGTAGTCCCACTGGCCTGAAAAGGTGTGATGTCTCCATCTGGGGCTCTGGACAGGTAAGATGAGCCAAGATCCATACCAAGCCTGGTGTGTGAGAGCTCAAGAAGGCTGTGTGTTTAACAGACTAGAGTTGTAAGATCTCTGTGGATCTGGAAAAGGCATTCCTGGCCTAAAGCCATTCGCGTTTAAATAAAAGCAGACACAGACTAGCAGATGAACTTCCGTGTGCCAGGGTAGACCAGAAATTACACCATCCTATGCTGTCACTTCATAGTCTAGGCCAGAGACCTCAGGGGCAGGGTGGGTGGATTGGGACAGGACACAGTGGGGATTAGCTAGCTAGAATGAGTCCTGGGCAGCTTCAGAGGTGGAGGCTTGGAGGTTAGGGCCAGGACTCTAGGTTCTTGGGAAGACCCAAAACTGCTACTTTGAGGAAGAATAGCACTGGGTAGAATAAAAGGCCAATAAAGGGAAATACAGCAGACTGAAGAAGTGGGCCGGGGGCTGCAGGTCACCAGGAGCAGGCAGTAGTGGGGTTGGGTTTATTTGTAGTCACCAGCCAGGCCCTGCCCCCTTCTTTGTTCAGGAGGGTGGCTTAGAACTACAGGAGGGGGGTTGGTGAATGGAACCAAACTAAGTAGATATTGCAAAGGGCCTTCTGCCTTCTTCTGAGGGAGAAGCTGGGAGCACAGCTTGGGTAGAGCCTAGGGAGATCTGTCCTCTAACCCAAGCCAGTATAAATCAAAGACAAAAGAAACAGCCATACCAGGGAGAGCACCGGCTGCTCCTGTAGAGCACCGGCTGCTCACAACGGTCTGTAGCTCTGGTTCCAAGAAATCTGATGCCCTCTTCTGGGCTCCGCAGGCACCGTGTCCACGTGGTGCACACACATGCATGCAGGCAAAACATTCATACCCATACAAATAAATATTTTTGTAAAAGAAGCAGAACAAAACGACCTGCCTACAGAAACAGGTGGGGTGTGAGGGACATGGACGGAACTGTATGTGAGGTGTGCTGAGCTGGCTAGGGAAGAGAATGAACTCTCTCCTATAAGTAACTCTGGAGAAAGCAACCCAGGTAGGAACGTCTGCTCCTTTATAGATGGGGCTGGCTTTCGACTGTCTAGGTCATTCAGTCATGCAGGTGGGTCTCTCAGGTAGGATGTCTGGGTTGAGAGGAGAGGAATGGACCTCACATTGTTGTACACCGTCTTCCATGCCAGCTCAGAGTGGTTTCACGGGTTAACTGTGTGTCTGTCACAAGCTGCCTCAAGAACAGATAAGGGGAAGACCAGTTTGACCAGTGGCACTTGTGAAGTCACAAGTGGCCCTGAAAAGAGAAATTTGGGGGTGATGAGAGTGTA